ACCAACATGAGGAGAGAAACAAGAGCAAGTTCATGAAGATCTCTGTAAGGAGAACAAGTTTGGAACCCAGATTCCTCCAGTGACGTTTGACGTTTCTTTGAGTTTCTGTCTCATGTCGACGCTGAATTCTGGACATTTTCGTGTCTTGTCGTCTGATTTTAAAACCTGAAGGAGCTGCACACGGTTTCACTTCCCATCGTCTCCTCAGGATTCGTCAAACCGTCGTCGGTCGCTGAGTCTTGGGTGAGTGTGAGCAGCAGATTCAAGACACAAAACGACTCAACAGAACAAAAAGAAATAAAACATCACAGATCAAATCTTCATCTGATTCTAAACCTTCTGTGAAACTCTGAGGGTGTTTCAGAAAGACTGTCGTGTGAAATGATGAGCCTGAGAGTGACAGATGGCGACAGGGGCAGACAGGGGCAGGCAGGGGCAGGCAGGACCGCACCTGGATGGCGAAGACTTTGACCACGACCAGCCCCTCTCGGTGTTTGGCTCGTGCCACTTTGAAGAAGCGGGTACTGCCCAGGCTCTTGTCGTACTCATAATCGTGGATGTCTGAAAAGTAACTGTCCACGGAGAGGATCTGCGATGGAGCGATGCCCGCCAGCTGGTTCCCCATCCTGGAGGGCACACAAGAGGCACAGGTGGGCACAGAGGTGGGTACAGAGGTGGGCACAGAGGTGGGAACAGAGGTGGGTACAGAGGTGGGCACAGAGGTGGGCACAGAGGTGGGCACAGAGGTGGGTACAGAGGTGGGTACAGAGGTGGGCACAGAGGTGGGCACAGAGAGAGGCAGAGGTCAGAGTCCTGCACGGGTCCATTTTTGGAAACCCGCACTGGCACAGTTCAGCACCACACACCTGCCCAATAACCCGTGAGTTTTATCAGAGTTAAACCTGTACCCACCCGTACCCACCTGTGCCCACCTGTGCCCGCGATAAATCACACACAAATTACAGTTTTCTAATTGAAGCATCCATCTGAATACAAATTGAAGAAGAATTCAAGAATTACAATCATGAAATGAAATTAAACGATTTCACTTCATTATGAAAACAAACTCAGACTCGACTCTCACCACTTCACAAGTTTATTTACTGAACAGAACAAACACGGATCGAGACGCTGCACAGACCACGGACTGAACCAGGACTGAACCAGGACTGAACCAGGACTGAACAAGGACTGAACAAGGACTGAACCAGGACTGAACCAGGACTGAACCAGGACTGAAACCAGGACTGAACCAGGACTGAACTAGGACTGAACAAGGACTGAACCAGGACTGAACCAGGACTCAGTGTTGGACAGGTCTGTAGTCCATCGAGTGATCGCAGTCAAAAGGACCAGAGCAGAGCTACGCGCCGCACCCAAGGTAAGAACTGAGGACACTGTGATCCACGGACTCTCGCTCTCTAGTCCTGGTTTAGTCCTGGTTCAGTCCTGGTTCAGTCCTGGTTTCAGTCCTGGTTTAGTCCTGGTTCGGTCCTGGTTCAGTCCTGGTTCAGTCCTGGTTTAGTCCTGGTTTAGTCCTGGTTTAGTCCTGGTTCGGTCCTGGTTCGGTCCTGGTTCGGTCCTGGTTCGGTCCTGGTTTAGTCCTGGTTTGGTCCTGGTTCGGTCCTGGTTCGGTCCTGGTTTAGTCCTGGTTCAGTCCTGGTTCAGTCCTGGTTTAGTCCTGGTTCAGTTCTGACCCGCCTGTGTGAAATCAATTTCCACCCGTAAATTCCAGAACGTTAAAACCCGCCCATTTTCAGGAACTATTTCCCCGAACCCATCGGGTCCCTGTGGGTACCAGACCTGGTGCAGGACTCTGGCAGAGGTGGGCAGTGATGTAGTCCTGGTTTAGTCTTAGTTTAGTCCTGGTTTAGACCTGATGTAGTCCTGGTTTAGATCAAACAGGTCAGAAATAGAGACACTGGGACGTTTCTTGTATAAATTGGGACAAATCAGTGTTTTTGTATAAATCTGTGGGACAGACTCGGACTCAGGACTCGGACTGTCCCACAGGACAAACAGGGACAACTGGACTCAATCATCTGGAGCTGTTTACCTGCGTCTGGAGACTCTTCCCCGGCTGCGTCTGTCTTTCTCCCGGGTGTGTGTCTTTCTCCCGGGTGTGTGTCTTTCTCCCGGGTGTGGTTCTTTTTCTCTCTGGTGTTTGTTGTTGTTGTTGTTGTTTGTTGTTGTAGTTGTTGTTAGCTTTGGCTTTAGCCGCGGTGGTCACGAGCTGCTGCGGCGCTGGAGATAAACTGCGGTTTTCAGGTCCAAAGTGCGCGGCTTTCACGCACTACATGTGTAAAGGTGCGTGAGCGCGCGGGGAGCGCGGTGTCCCGGGTGAAAAGAAAAACACTGCGTGAAAAAAAGAACCGAAGAACCGACGCGCTGGAGCTAAAGGCTAACCGGAACTAGCCGCGGCGCAGCTGATGTTGTGTTTCCGGGTTGGTGCTGTCAACAGTGTGACGTCACACCCGTGAAACGAGGACGGAAAAACAAAAACAAACAAAAAAACAAAAAATAAACAAATACAACGTAAATAAATAAATAAACGTAATAAACAAATTTCAGTAAAAAAACAAAAAACAAGAGCTTATACATCATTTAAAGCTCCGATATCAGAAAAAACTGTGAGCTGTAAGTCAGGTTCTATTGTTCTAATGTTCTACTATTCTACTGTTTTGATGCTCAGATTTTCTAATGTTCTAATGTTCTGTTGTTGTGTTGTTCCTGTCACACTCAGAGCTGTTCCTTGCGTTTGTTTGTTTGTTTATTCTGAGTCTGTTACATCTGCAAAACTCCAGACACTCTGTTCCACCTCGTGATGTCATGAAGTGAACTGCTCCTTTTCCCTTTAGTTCAGTCGAGATTGAAATGTTCCAGATGATTCTAGTGAAGATGTGTGGAGTTTAAAAACACAGTGGAGCACTTCCTGTATCACCAGACGATGACATCATGAGGTGGTTTAGTTCATGTGATATCTGTGTTTTTCTTGTCTTTTAATGAGTGTTTTATTTGTGTCAGAAATGCGTCAGGTTCCTTTGTGTTTGGAACAAAAGCGTCGCGCTCACGTGTTCTAATTACAGACGAGTTTTGTGTCGTGACGTTTAAATCTCGTGTTGAAGATCAGAGTCGCTTTTCCGGTCGGGTCACTCCTCCGTCTGCCCCGAGACGAATCACAGCTGAGTCTGCAAACAACCGGCTGAACTAAACAAACCTGCGCACGTGAACCTGCCTCGAGTTAGTGCACGTGAATCTGAATCTGCCCCGAGTCAGTGCACGTGAATAATGTGTGTAAATGTGGAGAGTTTGTGTTGAGCCTGAACAGGACCTGAGTTGTTGAGAGTTTGACCAGACTCACTGACCAGACTCACAGACCAGACTCACCTTCACTTTAATAAACACTGTATTTAATTTGACTGTTCGTCATTTGTGACTCGACTCGTCCAGAGACTGAACCTGCACAAACACATGACTCTGTGTTTTTATGTGAATGACCCTGATTAAAAAACTAATAAACTAAACTAAATAAACTGAGACTCTGGAACTTTCCCCTGAGCAGCTCAAAAGACGACGACAGCGGTTTGTTTTTATGACCTGAGTTGAGTTTTCTGCTCAGTCTTGATTTCCTCACAGACTCGAGAACAAGTGATTTCAGGAGACGAAGAATCAGTTCATCCGAGTCTGTGTCCGGGAGAAACGAGAGAAAAAGGAAAAACATGTGGGAAATGACAGGAAGTTCTATTTTACTTCACTGATGACATCACACTGATGACATCACACTGATGACATCACACTGATGACATCACACTGTCCACAGTTCTGTCCAAAAGTCTGACACACTTTACACATGAAGCGATTTTTTTCTGAGATGTTAAACATGATTTGGACAAAATAAAGAGTTTTGTTGTATTTGTTTTGGTCACATTAGATCTCCGGGACGTTGGAGAGTCTGGGCCTGGTGTACCACACGGTTGCTACGGTAACAGTCATGAAATTCCCCAGTGTGAATGTTCACAACCAGAAAGTAAAAATCTGTGTGTGTCTGGGCTCATGTTCATGTTTCATAAACCTCATGATTTGACTCGGAGCAGAGGGACTTCCTACAAATATACCGCCGATTATAAATATAAAGTATTTTTAGGGCCTCGCTAGTTGGGGTTAGGGTCAGTTTCTGTAGTTTCTTGATTTTTTTCCATGTTTATTTCCAGTCTTTTATAAATATTTGTCTTTATTAGGCCTCTTTGGTTCAGTTTCTTGAGTTTTTTTCCGTGTTTGCGGCTCGTCTGAAAGCGGAAGTAGCGCGGGCCCTTTCACAGTAAAGCTCCGGTGTCCGTCGGGGTCCGCGGGGCTGTGCGGCTCTGGGGCTTTTACGGTGAAGGTCCGTTTCCGTCCCGGTCCGGGTGAACTCCGGTCCAGATTCGGTCCAGATGATTCACGGAAGATGCTGAAGAACCGGGAGCTTCTGGTGAGTTTGTGAACAGCGGCGTGTCCCGGCTCTTTCCCCCGGGAGACGAGCTCGTGTCCTCGGCCTCAGCGCTCCGGACTCCCGCCCTGAGCCGCGGAGGAGCCCGGGCAGCGGCGGAGAGTCCGGGTTCCTCACGCCGGGAGAGGAGCGCTGTGTGCGGCTGGAGCCCGCCGCGGTCTCCGGGGAGGCTCCGGGAGCTCCGGCGTGTCTCTGCCTGTCGCGGGCCGCGGGGCTCGGGGGGAGCCGGGCTCGGGAGCCTCGGGACGGACTTTGTGTCGGGGCCGTTTGTTTCTTTAAACTTGTCTGAGCCGGTGGAGCTGGAGCTTTAGCATGCTAACTGAAGCTAACAGGAGCTAACTGTGGCTAACGGCTAATGTCAGCTTGTGCGTCCCGTGCGTCACGTGCGTCAGGTGCGTCCGGTGCGTCAGGTGTTTTGCCCGTTGGCGCGATTGAACCGTGAGCAAAGTGAACTTTGACCCTGGGGACAGAGCGAGTCAGCGGGGCAGAGGCTTGAGCCGGAGCCGTGGAGATAACGGCGCTAAAGAGCCACAGAGCCAGCGGGGATGAGCGCTCCGAGCCCCCGTGGAGGCTCCGAGGGTGAGGTGAGGGTGAGGTGAGGTGAGGGTGTGAGGTGAGGGTGAGGTGAGGGTGAGGGTGAGGTGAGGGTGAGAGGTGAGGGTGAGGTGAGGTGAGGGTGAGGGTGAGGGTGAGAGGTGAGAGGTGAGGTGAGGGTGAGGTGAGGGTGAGGGTGAGGTGAGGGTGAGGGTGAGGGTGAGGGTGAGGTGGAGGGTGAGGGTGAGGTGAGGGTGAGGTGAGGTGAGGTGAGGTGAGGTGAGGGTGAGGGTGAGGGTGAGGTGAGAGGTGAGGGTGTGAGGGTGAGGGTGAGGGTGAGGGTGAGGGTGAGGGTGAGGTGAGGGTGAGGTGAGGTGAGGGTGAGAGGTGAGGGTGAGTGAGGGTGAGGGTGAGGAGGTGAGGGTGAGGTGAGGAGGGTGAGGGTGAGGTGAGGTGAGGTGAGAGGTGAGGTGAGAGGTGAGGGTGAGAGGTGAGGTGAGGTGAGGGTGAGGGTGAGGGTGAGGTGAGGGTGAGGGTGAGGTGAGGGTGAGGTGAGTGTGAGGTGAGGTGAGGGTGAGGGGGTGAGGTGAGGTGAGGTGAGGTGAGAGGTGAGGGTGAGGGTGAGGTGAGGGTGAAGGTGTGAGGTGAGGGTGAGGTGAAGGGTGAGGTGAGGTGAGGGTGTGAGGTGAGGGTGAGGTGAGGTGAGGTGAGGGTGAGGGTGAGGGTGAGGGTGAGGGTGAGGTGAGGGTGAGGGTGAGGGTGAGGTGAGGTGAGGTGAGGTGAGGTGAGGGTGAGGGTGAGAGGTGAGGTGAGGTGAGGTGAGGTGAGGGTGAGTGAGGTGAGAGGTGAGGGAGGGTGAGGTGAGGGTGAGGTGAGGGTGAGGTGAGGGTGTGAGGTGAGGGTGAGGTGAGGGTGTGAGGTGAGATAAGTCTGTCCTCTGTGACTCTGAGTGACTTTATCAAAGGTGAGTTCCTGATCAGGTTGAGCAGGTCACTCTTCAAGTCTGCAGCTGGATCTTTCACCAGTTACACAAACCTCACCGGTGTGAGGTTCTGTGGTTGATGTGTGAGGTTCTGTGTGGTTCTGTGGTGTTCTGTGAGGTTCTGTAAGGTTCTGTGGTGTTCTGTGAGGTTCTGTGGTGTTCTGTGAGGTTCTGTGAGGTTCTGTGGTGTTCTGTGAGGTTCTGTGTGGTTCTGTGGTGTTCTGTGAGGTTCTGTGAGGTTCTGTGGTGTTCTGTGAGTGTTCTGTGGTGTTCTGTGGTGTTCTGTGAGGTTCTGTGGTGTTCTGTGGTGTTCTGTGAGGTTCTGTGGTGTTCTGTGGTGTTCTGTGGTGTTCTGTGGTGTTCTGTGAGGTTCTGTGGTGTTCTGTGGTGTTCTGTGGTGTTCTGTGAGGTTCTGTGGTGTTCTGTGGTGTTCTGTGGTGTTCTGGGTTGTGTGTGGTTCTGTGGTCTGTTCTGTGGTGTTCTGTGGTGTTCTGTGGTGTTCTGTGGTGTTGTTCTGTGGTGTTCTGTGGTGTTCTGTGGTGTTCTGTGGTGTTCTGTGGTGTTCTGTGGTGGACTCTGTGATGTTCTCACGCTGCAGCTCTGGGATAATGAGACTAAACTATAATTAAAGGATCTGTTTAATTATGGCCCTGGGTCTGAGAACATCCTGAAACAACAGCCCCTCTGACCCCAACATGACCCCCATCTGGTTTAGACCTGGTTTAGTCCTGGTTTAGTTCTGGTTTAGACCTGGTTTAGACCTGGTTGAGTTCTGTTTTAGTCCCGTTTTTCTTGTTTGTTTAATGTCTCGGCTCATTTGCATATTCAGTCAAATAACAGGGAGGAGTCAGCGGCCAATGAAAACAGAGTTACCTGAGATGTGGGCGGGGCTGTGATCAGCAGCTCTTGTGATTGGATAAAAGGGTTCGGGTTAAAGCCCCACTGCGGGACATGTCCACGTGTGTCCAGTGTACGAGAGCGTGACGTCCCCACAGAGACGCTCCAGTCCCTCTGAGATCAGAATGTCCCACACGCCGAGTCCAAGTCCAAGATCGAGTCCAAGTCCTGGGTCCGGATCTGGTTTCGGTTCTAACCTGAGGAGGCTGGGACTTGGACAATGGGCCTTTGTGTGTCTGTGTGTGTGAGTGTGTGTGTGTGCATGTGAGTGTGTGCGGGGGGGGCCTGTCGGACATGTGCAGCTCAGTCTGAACGTTTGACCAGGGCCTAGGAGAGATCACTAGATTACTCAGACCTAGAGTGATCAGAATCACAGGTTTTGTGTGCGAGTTCCTTCACAGCAGGAGTGTGTCGGTTCCTCTGTCGGTGTTTTCAGGTCGACAGAATCGTCTTATTCTTGAACCGACTCACGTGTTCATGCCGGAAATCAGAACGTTCAGGAACCGAAAAGTTGTTTCCCAACAAGAACCAAGTAAAACTAGTTTTACTTGGTTCTTGTTGTGACTCGTGACGACACAGAAGACGTCAGAACATTCCCCGAGTGTCGGAACGTTCCCCGAGTGTCGGAACGTTCCCCGAGTGTCGGAACGTTCCCCGAGTGTCGGAACGTTCCCCGAGTGTCGGAACGTTCCCCGAGTGTCGGAACGTTCCCCGAGTCCCACACGGAAAATAAACAAAGAAACTGAAACTCACCAATGAAACGAAAAGTTTGAAGTCGACAGAAACAACTGGGTCCCGTTGTTCTTGTGTCGTGTTCTCTGTTGTTCTTGTGTCGGGCCCCTCAGAGCGTGTGCCGGGCCCTCAGAGCGTGTGCCGGGCCCTCAGAGCGTGTGCCGGGCCCTCAGAGCGTGTGCAGGCCCCTCAGAGCGTGTGCCGGGCCCTCCAGAGCGTGTGTCGGGCCCTCAGAGCGTGTGCCGGGCCCTCAGAGCGTGTGCCGGGCCCTCAGAGCGTGTGCCGGGCCCTCAGAGCGTGTGTCGGGCCCCTCAGAGCGTGTGCCGGGCCCTCAGAGCGTGTGTCAGGCCCCTCAGAGCGTGTGCCGGGCCCTCAGAGCGTGTGTCAGGCCCCTCAGAGCGTGTGCCGGGCCCTCAGAGCGTGTGCCGGGCCCTCAGAGCGTGTTCGGCCCCTCAGAGCGTGTGCCGGGCCCTCAGAGCGTGTGTGCGGCCCCTCAGAGCGTGTGCCGGGCCCTCAGAGCGTGTGCCGGGCCCTCAGAGCGTGTGTCGGGCCCCTCAGAGCGTGTGCCGGGCCCCTCAGAGCGTGTGTCAGGCCCCTCAGAGCGTGTGCCGGGCCCTCAGAGCGTGTGTCGGGCCCCTCAGAGCGTGTGCCGGGCCCTCAGAGCGTGTGCCGGGCCCTCAGAGCGTGTGTCGGGCCCCTCAGAGCGTGTGCCGGGCCCTCAGAGCGTGTGCCGGGCCCTCAGAGCGTGTGCCGGGCCCTCAGAGCGTGTGCCGGGCCCTCAGACGCCCTGGCAGTATTTTTGGACGGGCTGTTCCACTTTGGAGTCTGTGGTCCGTGTCGGGACTGAAAATAGGACACACACACATTTCATCAGATCAAAATAAAACCCTGGTCCTGATTTTCAGAGGAAAAGCTCCAGTCATACCAGGACCAGACCCCGGACCAGACCCCGGACCAGACCCCGGACCAGACCCAGGACCAGACCCCGGACCAGCTGAAGTGACCTGGACTGTGTGTTCATGTTAAAGTGCTGTGTGTGTGTGTGTGTAATGTGTGTAATGTGTGTGTATATAGTGTGTGTGTGTGTGTGTGTGTGGACAGTTCTGGCTTTGTGCCATTGAGCAAACTCTTCTCATCAGAGGCAACACGAGGTCACAGGAGACGCCCACAAACACCACAGACTCAGTCTGCTGAGCAAACTCTGGACCTGAGCCAGACCAGGACTCGGGTCTGGACCTGAGCCAGACCAGGACTCGGGTCTGGACCTGAGCCAGACCAGGACTCGGGTCTGGACCTGAGCCAGACCAGGACTCGGGTCTGGACCTGAGCCAGACCAGGACTCGGGTCTGGACCTGAGCCAGACCAGGACTCGGGTCTGGACCTGAGCCAGACCAGGACTCGGGTCTGGACCTGAGCCAGACCAGGACTCTGGTTTGGACTTCAGCCAGACCAAGACTGGGGTTTTGGCTCAGGTCCAGACCTGGTTCTGGCCCGGTTTGGCCCGTCAGGATTGTCACTTGTGTGTGAATAATATTTGTCCAAGTGCAGATTTGGGTTTTGTTGAAATATTTCAAGTGTGGAAAATGAAACGTCAGGATCAGTTTAGTCTGGATCTGCTCCAGCTCCTGGTCCAGACTCGGCCTCTGGTCTCTGGTCTCTGGTCTCTGGTCCCTGGTCCTGGTCCTGGCTCAGGTCCAGACCCGGTGTCTGGCTCAGGTCCAGGTGTGTGGGCGTGTGAGGAGGATCAGGTGGATTCTCTGAAGAATTGAATGTTTGTTCTGAAGAAATATGACAGTCTCCTCCCCCTGAGCCTGAACCACACCTCCAGCCGGACACGCAGCCTGAGACCGGCTCTAGTCCTGACTTAGTCTTCAGATAGACTGGCTCTAGTCCTCCTCTAGTCCTGGTTTAGTCCTGGTTTAGACCTGGTTTTAGACCTGGTTTAGGATGAGTTTTAGTCTTTGGACAGTCCTGGTTCAGACCTGATTTAATCCCATTGGAGTCCTGGGTTAGTGCTGCTTTAGTCCTGGTTCTGGTCCGGTTCTGGTCCGGTTCTGACCTGGATCATGTCGGAGTGTGAGAGTTCGGAGCGGCTCGCTGCAGAGCCGGAGGTGAGTGAGCGTCTGGAGGTGGTGTTGGGTCGGTTTATCGCTGATGGTTTTCGTACGGTCTCTGTGCTGCTGCGGGAGTCGTCTCTGTAATGACGTGTCTGAATGCAGCTACACTCGTCTCACCTGCCGCTCCTGTCCGCACCTGTTGGCACCTGTGGCGGCGGGCGGAGGGCGGAGGGCGGCAGGTGCAGGGCAGGACTGAAGTGCACAGATGTGATTAGAGTCATTAGACTCATAATTACACTTTAATAAAACACCAGATTCAGAAACACGTGAAGGAAACAGAGGCTAAAGAAACTTCAGACTGGACTTGGATTCTAAAGAACACACTCGATACTCGATACTCGATACTCGATTCTAGTGATGGGCATTCGATGAAATTTTCTTAATCGATCGTCGGAAGAATTAACGATCGATTATCGATTAATCATGAACGTTTTTCTATTAAAATGATCATCATTATTATTGCTATCGGCACTAATCTGCATCAATAAATTCAACTTTACGACATATAAACATAACGACTCTAGAGCCACATCAGCTGTTTGACATTATAATGTGTTTAATTTAGTTTTGCTCAAATCTCAAAGTTTGTGGCCCCTCAGAGCGTGTGCCGGGCCCCTCAGAGCGTGTGCCGGGCCCCTCAGAGCGTGTGCCGGGCCCCTCAGAGCGTGTGCCGGGCCCCTCAGATTTCAATTATGATCAATTCAGTTTTGTTCAACTCTCAAAGTTTGTGCGTCAGATGCCCTCCCGTTGTGAAATGGAGGATTCTGGGACGTGTCTCTCAGATTTGATTTTTTTTAAACATAAATTTCAGTCTCGATACTTTAGAGTTTTTCCGGGAGTCAAACCTGGAGAACCCGGAGACCTGGACGGGGGGCGGGGCCACTGTTTGCTCACATTTCCCATCATGCTTCAGTGCTGTGAAACACAAACACAGAGCTGAGAAATACCTGTGTGTGGGTCTGTGTGTGTGTGGGTCTGTGGATCTGTGTGTATTGTGTGTGTGTGTATTGTGTGTGTGTATTGTGTGTGTGTGTGAAGTGTGTGTGTGTAAAGCTGTTGTATCACAGAAACCTTCACACGTTTGATTAACTTATTAACTTACATGATAAAGTTATCATGAGTCTGTTTAATCTCAAACTCCGAACATTCTGTTCCACCTTGTGATGTCACGTGGACCCTAACCCATCTGTGAACCAGTTCACATGTGACGGAGGCTCTGCCCGTTTCCACTTCAATAAAATGAATCTTGGTGCAAACAGAGACAGGTGACAGACGCTCAGATTTTATTTTAACAACTTTTGAGTCTATTAATCCAAGTCCTGCTGTAAGAGGACTTAAATCAATAGATTTGTGTAGAGCTTTTGACAATATTAGAAAAATATTTGACCAGAAATTTAACAGTTCAGAGCTTCCCCCAAAACATGTGACAAAGAGGCCGGGGCCTGTTTACAACGTTTACACAATTTTCACAGTTTTTTTTGGGGATTAAAATATTTGTGTTTCATATGAACTTTACACTAGAACAGGTTCAACAAAGACTTTTAGAGTCACATGATTTAGATTTTATTTTTATTGAACCTTTTCAAATCAATTTGAAATTCATCTAATCGAACCAAAACTGCCCAGTATCGAGATGAGTATCGGTATCGGCAACTTCTCAACGATCCCAGCCCCAGTGGTGACGTCATCGGGCCCTTGGGGTGTCAAAAGTGAAGCCTCTAAACCTCGTTAATAATGCCCCCCTGTCTCCACCCCCCCGTCTCCCCTCCCCCCGTCTCCGCCCCCCCCCCGTCTCCGCCCCTCCTCCTGGCCCCGCCCCCTCAGTCTTCCCACAGACGCTGCAGTGAGGATGACATCATGGTGCCGGTGCTGAGCTCCAAAAAAGCCAGTGAGCTCCCAGTGAACGAGGTCACCTGCCTCTTACAGGTAACAACACGACTGATACTGATACTGATCCTGATACTGACCCTGATACTGATCCTGATCCTCTTGGTTTCGGTCCCTGTGGTGTTGTGTTTCAGGCTGACCTGCAGCGTGGTCTGACCCATGAGGAAGTGGCCCGCAGGAGGCGCTATCACGGCTGGAACGAGTTTGACATCAGTGAAGAAGAACCGCTATGGAAGAAGTACATTTCCCAGGTAACAACACGGGGACGAAACCGGGACTAAACCGGGACTATGGCCCTGGCTCCGCTGCAGTGTCAGTGTTTCTGTGCGTAACCTCGTGGACCCTCAGCCGTGAGTCAGAGTCGACTCCACCTGCAGCTGCAGCAGGACGTCCACGCGCAGCACTGACTCTGGGTTTGTCAGTGTAAAGTTGATCAAACTCGTCTGAGGAGTTTAGTCGCTTGTATCAGGTCACAGTGAAACTAACAGAACACACTTGTATTTCTTCTGTTCACACTCACACCACAAACACCATTTCAAAAGTTATATTTTAAACTCTTTAAAGAGTCTTTGTGGAGCTGAGTCTTTCACACAACACAGATCTGCCCCAGGACACAAACACACACATACAACCAAACATTCATGTTCTCTGTGGGTTTTTGACGGGGACACACGTCTACGCTCACGTACAGCCTCAGAAAACAGGACGGATCTATTTTCTCAAATCTCCACGTGCAGAACGAACCGTCGAGAACAAACAGACGAACCTCACACACTTTATATGAATCTGAAAGTTACACGTCGCTCACGTAGAACGAAATACACCACAGTGAAACCAGGACCGAACCAGGACTAAACCAGGAAAA